TGTCTGCGTGATGTAAATCTTCATGTTTTCTTGTATGTGATGTAAATCTTCATGTTTCATTCTGTTTCCATAGATGACATTGACCTGGACAAGTGGCTATGATATAGATGAAGCTGTTCCTTTCATTGAGTGGGGTCGGAAGGGTGATCCTCAACATCGCTCACCAGCAGGAACATTGACATTTGATAGAAACGCCATGTGTGGTATGTTACAATTTTAATGACAATATTCCTCATGTAGCATCGTATAAATCTTGAAAAGTGAAATTGATCAATTTACCAATCACAAACTTTAAGATTCACCATGTGTATTGCTAATTTAGGAAGCAGTGACGCTAAAATTAGTTGTCTTCATTTATGCTTCCAAATGTATTTCCAAGAGGGTAAAGCAAGTTATTGAGAACTTAAAAAAATGATGATTGTTAAAGAAATGGACCTTGGGCCCAACTCAACCCTTTGTTTCTTTATCATTAGGACCAAGGTTCATTTCTTTATCAGTGATCAAGAGGTATGTGATGAAGAACACCAAATGGTAATAACCAATCTCACACATTACTCTTTTTCTGGGAGCAACAGAGTGGCTTCATTGGACCTGAGTAGCCTTTTTATTTTAAAGTTATGCTTCAACCATAAGAAAAAGAGGGAAAGAAAATAAGTATCGTACCTACAAATTGTTTAAGGAAGACAACCATGGTTTGCGCTCAGGTGCTTCCCTGTTCTGTAATTGCAAACTCTGAGATAAAAGTGAGTTGCGCTATTTTTGGCCTGCAGCTTCTGTTGTAGACAGTTTAAGCGACTGATGCTGCATGTGGTTATGATGGTCACTGTATAAGACAGATTATTGGAGTCTAGTCCATCTTCTGTAAAGGGTGTTAGCAGAGGTCGTCAATGAATGTTGGACGTTAGAATTTCTATGTAGACGCTCCAAAGGGTTGAGAAATCATGATATTTAAGCTTAATTGAGGCAAAGAACCAATTCCGGCAATCATTGAATAAACTCTAAATTCCAGTTTAACCAACTGTTTCATTTAATCTGTGCTCCATTGTTAGCAAACCAGTGAGATATATCAGCCTGCGAGTAATACTTATGTCATGTGCACTTTCAGGTTCGCCTGCTCGTACAGTTGGTTGGCGTGATCCAGGGTTCATACACACTAGCTTCATGAAGGATTTGTGGCCAAACAACTTGTAAGTTTGTTGTACAATATGTGTTGCCTCAGGAATAGAACTTTGACTTGAGAAAATGTTCATGTATATTTCTGTTGGATTAAACAACAAACTTGTCAGGTACACATACAAGATGGGTCACATATTATCAAATGGTTCCTATGTTTGGAGTAAGATGTATTCCTTTAGATCATCCCCATATCCGGGACAGAACTCGTTGCAACGGGTTATAATTTTTGGAGACATGGGAAAGGTAAAATCAAGTACTAATACTGAAAAATTAGAGAATCCTTCTCTGTTCCATTCTTCTCTTCTGGATATAGTACCAAAAATAGAATCAGAGTTACAAGGTTCCGTAACCAGTTTCTTTAACTCAACTTAGGATTGTACGAAGTTATAGGCTAACATCTTATTTCAGTAGGATACAGCAGAGACAATTTCTCTGGAATTTCAAGTTGGACAAAGTTAAATATGAAATACGTGAAGTTTTTTCTGACAGGAATAGAATATAAATTTCCAAATGAATTTGAAATCAAAGAAACTTGTGATGAGTTTGTTGAACATTCTTACTTACAATAGCGAGTAAATCATTCACGATGTCTCAAAAGGTCATTTAAATTTGTTGGAGTTTTTATAAGTTCTACTGTAACTTTAAGAAAAAGAGTAAATAAAGGCAAGAAGAAGAGATAATATTTGCTGCTAGAAAATAATATTAAGAACTGAAAATGGTGCTTAAATACAGAAAAAACTGAACAACTAGATCCTAGAATTAAGCATCTACTTAGCACATGATTCCATGATCAACATATGATTCCATGATCAACAACACATGATTCCATGATCAACAAACTCCTGAAAATCAGCAACTAAGTTAAGAATACTAAAAAGTAAAACACGTGAGGAAAACATTCAGCAGTTGTTTGACTTAATCTTGCAGTAACTGAGGCAATTGTTCAACAGTCCTCCATGCTTCAGTTGCTGCAAATTCCAAGCCTCTCTCTGAGAAATTCAAATTTGCTCCTTGGCAAAGCTTTGGTAAACATATCTGCCAGTTGAAGATCAGTCTTGCAATACTTTAATCCAACAGATCCTTCCTTCTGCAGGTCTCCGTGAAAGAATAATTTAATATTGAAATGCTTGGTTTTCCCATGAAAAACAGGATTATTTGAGATAGCAATAGCTGCTTGATTATCCACAAACACCTCTGTGCACTGTTCTTGCTTCAAATTCAGATCAAGCAACAATTTTCTAAGCCATAAGGCTTGATTTGCAACAGCTATTGCTGCAATGAACTCAACTTCAGCTGTAGATTGTGCAACAATTTCTTGTTTTTTAGAACACCAAGAAAATACCCCAGAACCAAGATTAAAACAATAACCGGAAGTGCTCTTCATATCATCAGAAGAACCAGCCCAATCACTGTCTGAATACCCCTGCAACATGTACTTCTGATTTGCATAGAACTTGATTCCAAAAATCAGTGTTCCTTTAACATATCTCATCACTCTTTTAGCTGCTCTAAAATGAGTGTCAGTTGCACAATTAGTGAATCTAGATAGAATACTTGCATCATATAAAATATCAGGTCTGGTTGCTGTAAGATACATGAGACAACCAACCATACTTCTGTAAAGAGTCTCATCCACTTTTTCAGCTTCATCACTTTTGCTCAACTTCTTCTTATGACACATTGGAATAGCTGTTTCTTTGCAATTTTCCATTTTGAACTTTTTCAAAATCTCTCCTGCATACTTCTCTTGACAGATGAACACTTCATTTCCCTTTTGCTTGATTTCCATTCCCAGAAAATAGGCCATTTCTCCCAAGTCCGTCATCTCAAAAGTATGATGCATATCTTCTTTGAACTTCTTAACAAGTTCGTCATTGCTTCCTCATCCACATATAGTGAAACAACAATAAAATTGATTTCATCACCTTTAATGTAGAGAGTAGCTTCACTGGGGCTTTTTCTAAAACCCAGCTGCAACAAATTCTGCTGTACCAAGCTTTGGGCGCCTGCTTTAGTCCATACAAAGCTTTCCTGAGCTGGTACGCTTCATCTTTATGCCCTTTGACTACGAATCCTTCAGGCGTGCTCAACATAAATTTCTTCCTCAAGAAAGCCATTCAAGAATGCAGATTTAACGTGTACGTCTAGCTGAAACACTTTTCAACCCTTCTGTGCAGCTTAGCCAACAATAATCTGATGGTTTCTAATCTGGAAACAGGAGCAAATGTGTTAGAAAAATCAACACCAAAGACTTGAGCATACCCCTTCACAACAAGTTTGGCTTTGTGCTTGTTGATAGAGCCATCTGCATTATGCTTGGTTCTGAAAACCCATCTTACTCCTATGACTTTTCTGTCTTTAGGTCTTTTCACAAGTTTCCAGGTATGATTTTTCTCAATCATGCTGAGTTCATCCTTCATTGCAGCTCTACATTTTGGATCTTTTTCTGCTTCCAAAAAATCAGCTGGCTGAAGAACAACCACATTGCATCTCTGGTAGATATCAGAAAGAGATCTAGTGCCTCTTACTGGAACATGATCCACCAATTCATCTTCTTTCAGTTGAAGCTTTGTACTTTCATTTGGATTCGTTCCAGTTCCATTGTTCATCCTCCATCAAATGCACATCTCTACTTATCAGAATTTTCCTTGTATGAGGTTCAAAAACTCTGTAATCTTTGGAAATAATGCTGTAACCCATAAAGATGCCTGGAATTGCCTTCTTATCAAGTTTGTCACGCTTAACCTGAGGAACATAAGCAAAGCGCACACAACCAAACACTTTTAAGAAAACTGAGTGAAGGTTTAAAGCCATACCAAGCTTCAAATGGTGTTTTATTTTCCAAAGCCTTCGTTGAAAGTCGATTTTGCAGAACAATTGCAGTATTCGCTGCCTCTGCCCAAAAGATTTTGGGCAAGCACATACATCTGGCCATTTCCATTATCGATCTATTTCTTCTTTCACTAACTCCATTTTGTTCCAGAGTGTATGGTGTTGTAAGCTGATGCACAATACCAGCTTCGTCGCAGAATGAATTAAATTCTCTTGAGGTGTATGTTGGGGCATATACTATTAACCATGCATTTGGATATAGTACATTCTAATAATTGTCATGCTTAAAAGTCTAAGTGGGAGATTGTTGGGATATATACTATTAACCATGGGTTTGGTTTAGATATAGTATTTATTTTGGAATAATTGTTTATTCAATTTTAATAAAGTTTTAAATAGATCATATATTAGTCTGTGTGCTTTGCTTATATAGTAGATGATTTAGTGTATAGAGTTTAGCTTATACACGGAAGATTAAATCATCGGTTCTTATAAATATAAAGTTTGAGTTCACAATCTAATGATGGAATTGGACAAACCATCATGGATGATTGTAGCACAAGATTAAATATAATTTATCTTGATTATGGGAATGGTTTAATTCCAACTTCTTGTGCTAGTACATTTTGTATGTATTGAACGGACCAGGTAGAGATACGTATTTTATACTGACTTAATATAATAACTCTCTAGCCATTAAATGTACTTATACTCTTAATCTTGATATAATTATTATTAGTTGTGTACATTATTATTTTTTTGATTTATTGAAAGGCGAGATTCTTTCGTGAGTCAATATGCCCGGTAAATTGGATAATAATAATGTATATTGACGAAGTAATAGTTAGTTGATGGAATCAATTCTCGGTTTATAGATTGATGATACACTTTTATGAAAGCTTATAAGTTTTCATGTGTAAACCCGGCCGGTGGATTTTGTATCCGACACATGAAATAAGTTAAGCGAAAGTGTAAAGGAAATAATCAATAAATTAAATCGTCAGTAATTTAATTTAACTGATTAGTATATGAATCTTAACATGGGGAGTTAAATAAGATTTGATGGATGAATTTCGAATTTGAATAAGGAGTGCAATTACGAATTTTTAGTGGAATAATTCATAATTAATTATGGTAGATATTAATTTCGAAAATTAGAAATTAATTCCATAATTGGAGCCTGGTTAGTTAAATTCTGTGGTCTCTATTGTGCCTAAATAATAGGAAATAAAGGAATCCTTTTTCTGGTGGAAAAGAAAACCCAACAGGTTTTGGAAAAGGGTTTTAACCCCTAAAACTTGTGCTATAAATACATAAGGTTTTCCACCTAGAGGGAGTAGTACATGGTGGCCAAAAATTTCAGCCAAGTTTTCTTAGAAATTTCGCCCACACGAAATTGTTATTTCCGGATATTATTTGGGTAACACAGTAGAAGACCGTAGAACTTTCGGAGATCGTGGTCGTGCGGGTGATGGAGATTTCATCGAATTGCTGTGAAATTGGAGGCTAACGTGATAGAGGAGCTTTGTCCACGCTTCAAGAGGTAACCCGTGAAATCCCGTTTATACTAGTTGTCTAGATTACATGTGATTTTGATACTAGAATTGCTTGCGCTACTTATTATAATTCATCAGTGTATTCCTTCCATTATCGGACCTCAAAGCTTGAATCTTGCAGCCACTTTGATTTTCCACCAAATTCTTGAATTTCCAGAATACACCAGCAACTTCTAACTTGAATTTCAAGAAGAAAATCCAGCACATTCTTGAAAAATCATCTATGAAAAGAACGTAATAGAGGCTACCTTGTAATGATGGAGTTCTTTGCGGTCCTGTAACAGCAGTGTGTACTAGCTGCAACTTTTATGAGGCTCTCCAAGTTGATTTAGGAAATGGCTTTCTGTGTTGTTTACCAAATTGGCAGGCACGACATTCTGTAGAGTTCACTTCCAGGTCGGGTAGGTTCTCCACCATCTTCAGTTTTTGCATTTTGAGAAGTCCTTGATAGTGATAGTGCCCAAGTCTCTTATGCCATAACTCAGCAACATTTTCTTTTGCTGAATACACCATTTGCTCTTCCTCAAAAGGACTTCTGCCTCTCATTTTGACTTTAAAACAAGTCTTGCCCCGAAAGATCTTTGATCAAGCAATAATTATTTTCGAAATACAATTTGAAACCTTTTTCTACCAGTTGACCAAGGCTTAACAAGTTTTGGTCCAAATCAGGTACATAAAGAACATTAGATATTGTTTTAGTACCTGATTGTGCCTCAACTGCAATGGTTCCTATTCCTTTTGCTGGAATATGCCTGTCATTGCCAATTTTAACCTTTTTAACTCGAGTAGGCTTCAATTCCTTGAAGAGTTCTTTATTGGAAGTCATGTGATTTGTGCATCAGCTATCGATCAGCCAAGACTCGCTTGAAACATTGCTTGCAAAACAAGATGCAACAAATAGTTGATCTTCCTCTTCTTGATCTTCAGCTACCTATCAACACTTTTCTGCTCAATATTGTTCTTGAAAATCTTTTGATGATGTCCCATCTGCTGACATTTCTCGCATTGTTGATCTGGTCTTCTGCAATATCTGGATGGTGGATGACCTTTCTTTCCACAATGCTTGCAAGGAGGAAAATCATATTTTGTTCTCCGATTATTCCTAGGAGAATCGGCACTTGAGTTTTCCTTCTTGTTCAAGTTGTGCTTCTTTTTCTTTCCCTTTCTCCCTGACTTGACTGAACTTTTGCAGGTAGTGCACCCTCGACAGACCCTTCAGACCTCATAAGCCTTCTCTGTTCTTGTGCCTGCAAAGCGTTCAATAAATCTGCCAAAGTAATTTGTGACAGATCCTTAGTATTTTCCAGCGAGGAAATGGTTGCTTCAAACCTTTCAGGGACTGTTACAAGAATTTTTTGAACCAATCTAGAATCAGAAAATTCAGAGTCAAGTAATCTTACTTTATTGGCAATGTTGAGTAATCTGTCAGAATACTCTTTAACTGTATCTAAATCCTTCATCTTTTGAAGTTCAAATTCTCTGATAAGGTTGAGAATACGCATTCCCTTGATCCTTTCATCTCTGTTAGAAAATGCTTTTGGACTGCAGTAATTTTTATTTTACTGTTTTAGTTTGAATAAGTCAAAAGTTTGTTAGCTAGATGTTCCTATTATCTAGGAAATAGTTGGCAAGTAGGTGTTAGTGGGATCCTTTTTGTACTGCATTATTCTGCTAGTCCATAGACTATAAATGTAAGCTCCACCAGTTAATAAAATTAGATTTCTTCCACTACTATATCAGTCTATTATCCACGATTTTCTACTTTCAAATTACAACAATTGGTACCAGAGACCTCTTCTTGCGGGATCTGTGATTAATATCTTTAACGTGATCTGTGAGTGTTCAAGAGAGTGTTGAAGTGAGTGCAGAAACACCAAACAGAAACACCACGATTTCAAGTATGGAAGAAAACTCAAGCTTTTCGGCAATGGCACCTCCGATCTTCACTGGTGAAAATTTTCACATGTGGGCTGTGCGGATGGAAGCTTATTTAGAAGCTTTAGATCTTTGGGAGGCAGTTGAGGAAGACTATGAAGTTCCTCCACTATCCGACAATCCAACAATGGCTCAAATAAAGAATCATAAGGAGAGGAAAACCAGAAAGTCTAAGGCAAAGGCGTGCCTCTTTGCTGCTGTGTCATCAACAATTTTTACTCGCATTATGTCTCTAAAATCAGCAAAAGCAAATCTGAGAGTATCTCAAGTCAGAGTATGAAGGAGATGATCGAATCAAAGGTATGCAGGTGCTGAATCTTGTTAGAGACTTTGAGTTGCAGAAGATGAAAGAGTCGGAAACTATCAAGGACTACTCTGACAGGCTTTTGGACATAGCAAACAGAGTAAGGTTACTTGGTTCTGAGTTTAAGGACTCTCGTATTGTTGAGAAAATTCTGGTTACTGCATCCGAAAGATTTGAAGCCACCATAACTACTTTAGAAAATACCAAGGATCTGTCCAAAATTACTTTGGCAGAACTACTAAATTCCTTGCAGGCACAAGAACAAAGAAGGCTTATGAGAGAGGATGGAATTAGAGAGGGAGTTATGCCAGCCAAACACGAAGATGGTGGAAGATATAAAAAGAAAAAAAATAAAAAGAACCACCAAATAAATGGAGAAGGTGCAGCGCGCAACATCAACAAAAGCAAAGCAGGAAACTCCAAGGGAAATTACCCTCCTAGTAAGCATTGTGGCAAGAACGGACACGCACCTTACAAGTGCTGGAAAAGGCCTGATGCTAAGTGCAATAAATGCAACTAGTTTGGGCACGAAGCAATTATCTGCAAGAATAAAATTCAACAGCAAGATGCAGACGCTCAAGTTGTTAATGAAGAGGAGGAGGATCAACTGTTTGTTGCATCCTGTTTTGCAATCAATGTTTCAAGCGAGTCTTGGTTGATTGATAGCGGATGCACAAATCACATGACTTATGACAAGGGTCTCTTCAAAGAACTGAAGCCTACCAAAGTTGCAAAGGTCAGGATAGGTCATGGCGGCTATATTCCTGTTGAAGGAATGGGAACCATTGAAATTGAAACACAATCAGGTATGAAAATGGTTTCGGATGTGCTTTATGTACCTGATTTAGATCAAAACTTGTTAAGTGTTGGTCAATTGCTAGAAAAAGGTTTCAAGGTGCATTTTGAGGATAAACTTTGCTTGATTAAGGATGCCTCGGGACAAGACTTGTTTAAAGTTAAAATGAGAGGCAAAAGCTTCTCGTTAGATCCACTTGAGAAAGAGCAGATGGTGTATTCAGCAAAAGAAAATGTTGCTGAGATATGGCATAAACGACTTGGGCACTATCACTATCAAGGACTTCTCAAAATGCAAAAATTGAAGTTGGTGGAGAACTTACCTGATCTGGAAGTTAATTCTACAGATTGTCGTGCTTGTCAATTTGGGAAACAAAGCAGACTTCCGTTCCCAAAGGTAGCCTGGAGAGCCTCAAGAAAGTTGCAGCTGGTTCACACTGATATAGGGGGACCTCAACGGACTCCTTCACTTAATGGTAGTATTTACTACATTATTTTTATAGATGATCTGACCCGAATGTGCTGGATTTATTTCCTAAAGTTCAGATCAGAAGTTAGGAGCATTTTCTGGAAGTTTAAAGCAAAAGTGGAAAATGAAAGCGGGTGCAAAATTCAGATTTTAAGATCTGACAATGGCAAGGAGTATATTTCTCATCAGTTCAATTTATTTTGCGAGGAAGAAGGAATTGAACGTCAACTCACAGCTCCTTATACTCCAGAACAAAATGGAGTTAGTGAAAGAAGAAATAGATTCATTATGGAGATGGCAAGATGCATGTTGCATGAGAAAAATTTGCCAAAGAAGTTCTGGGCAGAGGCAGCAAACACAGCCGTGTTTTTACAAAATAGACTTCCCACGAAGGCAGTGAAAGACCAAACTCCTTTTGAAGCATGGTATGGCTATAAACCTCCGCTGCATTTTCTTAAAGTTTTTGGTTGTCTTTGTTTTACCTATATTCCTCAGGTTAAACGAGATAAACTAGATAAAAAGGCGGCCCCGGGCATTTTCATTGGATATAGTACCGCTTCAAAAGCGTATAGAATTTTCCAACCAGAAAGTGAGAAGATCATTATCAGCAGAGATGTCCACTTCATGGAAAACGAAGAATGGGATTGGGAAAACTCAAGTGTTTCTGTCCAGAAAACAAGTCCATGGTTAGACGAAATGGTGGATCATCCATCGGTGCGTGGTACTCGATTGCTTTCTGATATATATCAGAAATGCAATGTTGCACTATGCGAACCTGCTAACCCTGAAGACGCACTCAAAGACCCCAAGTGGAAGAATGCAATGGAGGAGGAGCTGTTCATGATCGAGAAAAATAAAACTTGGCAGCTTGTTGATAAACCTCACGACAGAAAGGTAATTGGGGTAAAATGGGTGTTTAGAACCAAGTTAAATGTTGATGGTTCAATTAACAAGCATAAAGCAAGGCTTGTTGTCAAAGGGTATGCACAGATTTTTGGTGTTGATTATTCTGACACTTTTGCTCCAGTTGCTAGGCTCGACACAATCAGGTTACTTCTTTCTATTTCTGCACAACTTGGCTGGAAAGTGCATCAGATGGATGTCAAATCAGCATTCCTTAATGGGATTCTCAAAGAAGAAATTTATGTTGAGCAGCCTGAAGGTTTTGTTGTAGAAGGAAAAGAAGATAAAGTCTATAGACTACATAAAGCTCTTTATGGCCTAAAACAGGCACCAAGAGCTTGGTATAGTCGAATAGATGATTATTTGCTTGGCCTCAATTTTGAGAAAAGTCTTTCAGAATCGACGCTTCATGTTAAACAACATAGCAGCGATATTCTTGTTGTTTCTCTTTATGTAGATGACCTTTTGATTACAGGGAGCAGTACAAAGCTTATTGATGAGTTCAAGCAAGATATGATGCAAGCTTTTGAAATGACCGATCTTGGTTTAATGACATATTTTCTTGGAACGGAGATTAAACCAGAAAAAGATGAGGTTTTCATTTGCCAAAAGAAATATGCGAAGGAAATTCTCAAGAAGTTCGGAATGGAGAATTGCAAAGCAATGAATACTCCCATGAACCAAAAAGAGAAACTACGCAAGGACGATGGAGCTGAAAAGGTGGACGAATCATACTTCAGAAGTATCATTGGGTGTCTGATGTATCTTACAGCAACAAGACCAGACATATTGTATGCTGTAAGTGTTCTATCAAGGTTCATGCATTGTCCCAGTGAAGTGCACCTGAAGGCAGCCAAAAGAGTTGTGCGATACATCAAAGGTACTATCAACTATGGAGTCAAGTTCCAGAGTAGTCGAAATAAGGAGCTGTTTGGGTATTCTGATAGTGATTGGGGTGGTTCCTTGGATGATATGAAGAGTACTTCAGGGTACTGTTTCAGTCTTGGTTCGGGAATGTTCTCTTGGTGTTCGAAAAAGCAGGATACTGTGGCTCAATCTACTGCAGAAGCAGAGTTTGTGGCAGCTACAGCAGCAGTAAATCAAGCATTATGGTTGAGGAAAATTCTGGTTGATCTGCATATGGAACCAAGAAAAAGTACTGAAGTGTTCGTCGACAACCAGGCTGCGATAGTTATTTCTCATAATCCCGTGTTTCATGGGAAGACTAAGCACTTCAATATCAAGCTTTTCTTCTTGAGAGAAGTGCAAAAAGATGGAGCTATAACTCTAGTCTACTGCAAGACGGAAGAAGAAGTCGCTGATATATTCACAAAGCCTTTACCAGTCAGCAAATTCGAGCTTCTAAGACAAAAACTTGGAGTTTGCAGTTCCTAAAGCAAGGAGGAGTGTTAGAAAATGCTTTTGGACTGCAGTAATTTTTATTTTACTGTTTTAGTTTGAATAAGTCAAAAGTTTGTTAGCTAGATGTTCCTATTATCTAGGAAATAGTTGGCAAGTAGGTGTTAGTGGGATCCTTTTTTTAGTGCATTATTCTGCTGGTCCATAGGCTATAAATGTAAGCTCCACAAGTTAATAAAATTAGATTTCTTCCACTGCTATATCAGTCTATTATCCACGATTTTCTACTTTCAAATTACAACAATCTCCTTCATATTCTTTCTTCAGGAAACTCCAGACCTCAAACGCCGATTTCATTGTCATAATCCTGACAAAGATTTCTGGTGAGACTGAAGCAAATAACGTAGCTCTAGCCTTTGACTTTCTTGTTTTCTTCTCCTTGTGATTCTTCATCTGCGCCATAGTTGGATTTGCAGGCAAGGAAGGAACATCGTAGTCCTCCTCAACAGCTTCCCAGAGATCATTTGCCCCCAGATGTGTCTCCATCCTTGCTGCCCAGACATGGTATCCTTCGCCATTGAAGACGGGTGGTGCAAGTGCAGTGAAAGGGGTTTCTGAATCCATAGAAGAAGAAAGAAAAAATGTGTTTTCCCTTAATTACAGGTCCCTCAAGAAGAGAGCTCTGATACCAATTTGTTGGAGTTTTTATAAGTTCTACTGTAACTTTAAGAAAAAGAGGAAATAAAGGCAAGAAGAAGAGATAATATTTGCTGCTAGAAAATAATATTAAGAACTGTAAATGGTGCTTAAATACAGAAAAAATTGAACAACTAGATCCTAGAATTAAGCAACTACTTAATACAAGATTCCATGATCAACAAACTCCTAAAAATCAGCAGCTAAGTTAAGAATACTAAAAAGTAAAACACGTGAGGAAAACATTCAGCAGTTGTTTGACTTAATCTTACAGTAACTGAGGCAATTGTTCAACAAAATTGTTATAGTGGGAGCACTAGTTTTATGTCCATTCGAATTATTACCTTTCCTACTCTGAATATGATAATTCACCTACATTCTGATGTTAGCAAAGGAGTTCAAATATGGGTCCTATATGACTGCTTGATTCATGTGATTAATGTGAGACATGTCTTATAGGCGTTGATTTAAGCATCATATTACCAGGTTATTACTAAATTTGTTTTCTGGAGCAGTATAGTAATTGCATATAGTTCGAGTTATTAAGACGTATTTGAGTAACTTGAGCAACAAAATTTTCATTTACTGTCATATCATATATATTGAGTCCAAACTATCATTCATGATCGTATTTCCTTTCTTTAGAATGTGTGAGCTGATAAACTACAAGTTCTAAGCTTGTGCTGCCACTGATCTTATGACAATGCAAGGCCACTCCATGTGGATCAGTCATTTACTTTTAATCGTTGGTAATTGATATAATTGATATGATGGCCAAAGGTTAAGCTTGTTTTTTCTCCTTTGCTGAGCACTTACATCCAGTTTGGAATTGTTTGCTAGTAGGATTAGCTGTCACTGATTTAATCTGAATGTTGTGGTAATCTCTTACCATTCCCCTTTTGCTTACTGTGAGGTCAGGCCCTTCTAGAGTACCCTTTGCATTTTAGAAAAGTCCTGGGAACTAGAAATCACTAACCATTGACTAACTTGAAGAATGTGTTTCATTGAATGGTTGTCGTAGATATATTGAGATACTTCCTGTGGATTATTTTGTAGTTGTTCATTTTGAGCAGAAGACATGCTTTACAGAATCTTTTGCTTTCATCTTCCTTGAACCAAGTTTTTGTTCAATATGAAAATCAGAACCGATTAAACTGTGTAGTGATTTTCAGGCAGAGCGTGATGGTTCAAATGAGTATAGCAATTATCAACCAGGCTCACTCAATACAACGGACCAACTCATCAAGGATCTTAAAAACATTGACATAGTTTTTCATATAGGAGACATTACGTATGCCAATGGATATATATCACAATGGGACCAATTTACTGCACAAGTGGAACCTATTGCATCAACTGTACCCTATATGATTGCAAGGTTCGTGTCCTCAACAATGTTGTGTGTTATTAAGCTTCATCCGTTACTTGTCATTTATTTCTTTTTCTATGAAATATGAACTCCTTGCAGTGGTAATCATGAGCGTGATTGCCCTGGAACTGGATCCTTCTACGAGGGTAATGATTCTGGTGGAGAATGTGGAGTGCTAGCTCAAACCATGTTTTATGTTCCGGCGGATAATAGAGCTAAGTTTTGGTAATAAACTATTCTCTTTCATTCATTGTATTTGACATGAAAGTCTGGGAAATCAGTTGTTTAGAGTCCTCCTCTCCCTCTCCCACAATACACACACACACCAAAAAAAACAATCAGGTTCTGCTGTGACAAGTAAAAGGAATTTTCGTGCTTAAAAAGGGTGGATAACTTTTATCTATTGAACAAATAAGGACTTGAAAGATTGTTTAAGTGCTTGTACTGAAAAGTAGCTTGTACCTGTGCGCACATTTTTCCAATTGAAGATCTTGGTTGGTTTTTGTGTCCAGTCTCCATAGTGAATGAAGATGAATTCATTTTTTTTTCTTTTTTCTGTTGATATTTTTCACTTTTCACAATTTAGAAATACTTTAGAAGTTATGGTAAAGAAAAAAAATACTTTAGAAGTTATAGACAAAGATGTTGAAGCTTGACCCTTAAAAAATAAATCAACATATTCAATTTGGGATGTGGAAGCGAGAAATGAGCTAGTTGCATTCCTAAAGAAAGCTTATTTGCACCATGTCTGTTGAAAGCGCCTGAATCATTTATATTAGAACACTCTTCCGTCAACTTCTGACATTTTGCTATGACTTATATATCGTAAGTGTAGGTATTCAACAGATTATGGCATGTTTCGCTTTTGCATAGCAGACAGCGAGCATGATTGGAGAGAGGGATCTGAGCAATATAAATTTATTGAACATTGTCTTGCATCAGTAGACAGACAGAAGCAGCCTTGGCTGATTTTTTCTGCTCATCGGGTTCTTGGTTACTCTTCTGACAAATGGTATGGCATAGGAGGTTCATTTGAGGAGCCCATGGGAAGGGAAAGCTTGCAGAAGCTTTGGCAGAAATATAAAGTGGATATTGCATTTTATGGTCATGTTCATAACTATGAAAGAACTTGTCCTATTTACCAGGTAAGCATTGCTACTTATTTTTTCCAACTTTGAATCATACAATTTGTTTCTGATGTCAAACCTAACGTCTGAGATGTATAGACTCAGAACTAGAAATCACATCCATAGTTGGGAAAGTTTATATGGCTGTAGTGAAACTGCATTTTACTACTTGTACGTCTCAACATGAAGTGAATAAACTTATTGGGATAACACTATAATTTGGTTCTCTTTTAGAATAGCATCCGAGGGTCTCATCTACTATGTTAGATAATTAATTTTTAGTAGTGTTCTTGCCATTTCCCTTTCTGGAAAGACGGACATTAAAATGAGATTACTTGAAAATAATAGAGGCAAGTACAGTTTATTAGGGAGTTTTGGTTCTCAAGATAGTTTTGTCAGCATTTCAACAGACATTTTAATCTTACTTGTATTAAGATAAGAGAGGGTACTTGCATCAAAAGAATTAAAAGGAAAGAAAAGAAGAAGCTTGATTATATGGAATTTTTCCCTTTGTTTCATTTCTATCCAAAACACCTTTTGTTTTCTGGCTTCTCTTATTGTTTCCTTCTTTTTCCTTCACCAATAGACCTGTCTTTAACAAGAAGATATGCTGGGAGTAATTCGTGCTCTTATTATTTTGTCTTCAAAAATAAAGAAACTAACCGATTAACTTAATAGATGTTAGAAATATGCTTTAGAAGCTGCTCTCAGTAAAATTATTTTACTGTTTCAGCTATTTACTGCAGTAATTTAGTTTGAATTTGAAATAATCTTGAACTAGTCTTTAGGAGTGAACTAGTCTCTAGGATTTAGTTATTTTCAGCATATTTTGTGCTGATTTTTAGATCTTTTAAGTTAGTATTTCTCTTATAAATTGTAGTCCAAATGCAGTAAAATAATATAGTATTTTCAGCTTCAGTTCTTTTTACATCTATTCCAGTATATTTTTTATTTTCTTGTCATCTTCCCAGTTATTTCCCTTAATTTCTTTTATCAAGAACCAACAATTGGTATCAAGAGCCATCTTCTTAAGGGACCTAAGTAAAATCTTTTCTTGAGTGAGATGGAGACTGAAATGAGTTTTTCTCAATTGGCTCCTCCAGTCTTTGATGGTGAAAATTACCAACTGTGGGCAGTGAGAATGGAGACTTACTTGGAGGCTTTAGATCTTTGGGAGGCCGTGGAAGAGGATTATGATGTTCTTCCGCTGCCTAACAATCCCACCATGGCCCAGATCAAGAGTCACAAGGAAAAGAAAACCAGGAAATCAAAGGCGAAAGCAACTTTGTTTGCTGGTGTGTCTGCAACAATTTTCACGAGAGTTATGGCTCTCAAATCAGCAAAAGAAATCTGGGATTATCTGAAGGGAGAATATACAGGAGATGAAAGAATACGAGGCATGAAGGTGTTGAATTTAATAAGGGAATTCGAGTTGCAGAAAATGAAGGAATCTGAGACTGTCAAAGAATACTCAGATCGGTTGCTTGGCATTGTTAACAAGGTAAGATTGCTTGGTACTAAATTTAAAGATTCAAGAATTGTTGAAAAAATTCTTGTTACGGTGCCTGAAAAATATGAAGTATCCATAACTACTTTGGAAAATACAAAGGATCTATCCAAGATTACCTTGGCAGAATTGTTAAATACATTGCAGGCACAAGAGCAAAGGAGGCTTATGAGGCAAGATGGTATGGTTGAAGGAGCCCTGACAGCCAACCACAAAACTCAAAGCAAGGGTAATAATGTTAAAAAAAATTCCCCGCCTTGTCAGCACTGTGGCAAAAAAGGTCATCCACCATTCAAATGTTGGAAGAGGCCAGATGCAAAGTGCAAAATTTGCAACCAACTTGGTCATGAAGCTGTAATTTGCAAAGGCAAATATCAAAAGCATGAAGCAGATGCCCAAGTCGCCAATGAAGAAGAAGAAGATCACTTGTTTGTGGCAACTATTCTTTCAACCAAAAAAATCTGATTTTCGGTTGATTGACAGTGGTGGTACAAACCACATGACATATGACAGAAATCTTTTCAAAGAGTTCACGTCTATAGGAAATAAGAAAGTCAGAATTGGAAATGGTGATTATATTCTTGCTAAAGGAAAAGGAACTGTTGCAATCCCAACAAATTCAGGTACTAAGAAAATTTCAGATGTTCTTTATGTTCCTGATATTGATCAAAATTTATTAAGTGTTGGACAACTAATGGAAAAAGGATTTAAAGTATCCTTTGAAGATAAATATTGTTTCATTTATGATGCAACTGGACTTGAGATTTTAAGGGTTAAAATGAGAGGTAAAAATTTCTCATTAGATCAAGAATGGAGCCAAAAGAATCTACTAAGTGCAGGTAATTCTCCAACTGAGGACATATGTGAAAATAAGGTAAGGAAGAAGTTGTCAATATTTCAGAAAATGCAATTCTGGAAGAAAGTTAGACAAGTCTCAAGGCAAGATGCAAATGAAGCTGAAAAACGATCCAACTTATTTCATTAACAATCATGAGATGCAGCAAAATACAGAAGTGAACTCGATTCACTGCAAGTTCAAAGATCAGTTGGCAGATTTACGTACAAAGTCGCTTCCAGTTAAAGGTTTACAAGGGACAAATTCAGAATTTGCAGCTTCAAAAGCAAGGAGGAGTGTTAGAAATATGCTTTAGAAGCTGCTCTCAGTAAAATTATTTTACTGTTTCAGCTATTTACTGCAGTAATTTAGTTTGAATTTGAAATAATTTTGAACTAGTCTTTAGGAGTGAACTAGTCTCTAGGAGTTAGTTATTTTCAGCATATTTTGTGCTGATTTTTAGGTATTTTAAGTTAGTATTTCTCTTATAAATTGTAGTCCAAATGCAGTAAAATAATATAGTATTTTCAGCTTTAGCTCTTTTTACATCTATTCCAGTATATTTTTTATTTTCTTGTCATCTTCCCAGTTATTTCCCTTAATTTCTTTTATCAAGAACCAACAATAGACAAGGGCATTTTCTATGGATTGATATCTGGACCTTTCTTGAGTAAAGGCAAAACGTGAAATTTTGTAAAGAACAGCTAGTTGCATGTGATCCATTACCCTTTACTATAACATAAGTCCATTCTCAGTGTTTTAACATTGGACTTTCCTATGATGCAGAACCAATGCGTGAACTCGGAAAGATCACACTATTCTGGTGTTGTCAATGGGACAATCCATGTTGTTGTAGGTGGCGGAGGGAGCCACTTATCAGAATTCAGTCCTATTAATACCACCTGGAGTCTTTACAAGGATTATGATTGGGGGTTCGTCAAGCTTACATCCTTTAATCATTCATCGCTTCTTTTTGAATACAAAAAGAGTAGGGATGGTAAAGTCTATGATTCTTTCACCATCTCAAGGGACTATAAAGATGTCTTAGCTTGTGTCCATGATGGTTGTGAGGCAACCACTCTTGCTTCGTGAACCGATCTAAATGTACACTAGCGAAATCATTCAGCTATAAGATTTGTTGTAATTGGTTCCGATACAATAAAAGATGCCATAATGTACATTAGTTTTACTTTTTAGCACCTTGAGATTTTCATTGCAGCTGGAGAAGATGTTATTTGGGAGTTCCCTTTCGTTTCTTCTTTCTTCGGGATGGTCGCCTCACAATCCAATCCATCCATTTTCACTCCTACCACTTGCTGAATACAGTTTCCAGAGTTGATGTGATAGTTTAACAATAAAATGAATCAGCTACCCTCTGAGGGGAGAGGTGCATCGAGAGAAGTTTTATTGTGTGTCTCAGACAACTTACATTAGTTGTGTGAGGCTCCTTTTGGTCTCACAAATTTGTGGACCCCAGTCTTACACTCCTGGGTCCACAAAACTATGAGACAAAAAGATGTCTCATACAACTGACATCTCATACAACTAATGTCAGTTGTATGAGACACAAAATAAAATTTTCCGGTGCATCGAAGAGGCTATCGGAGCTGTTCATAACGAACAATATTCATTCCAAAATATTCTGTTGTAGAATAATAAGCCAAAAGTATTAACCAAGAGAGCTACGGGCATTTCTTTTTTATCCACTGTTTTTACCTTCAAGACTGCATTCGCCTAACTTTTGAGCCTGTTTTAACAATATTACGTTCAAGATATTAACTGTTTGACACCAGAGGTAAGTTCAGCTGTCTCTGCAACTCTGCATTCCCTTAATCTTGCTTTGTAAAAGCTTGGTTGCCCAAATTAAGAAACAGTAGATGAGATGAGGGGAGAAAAGTGTCTAAATATCAGCAGGGGAAACCCCTCACAGGATGAAGTAAAAACATGGAATTTATCTTACTAATTCACCATTATTCTCATCTTACATGACGTCAATATGTATTTTCTGGGGTCAGATATACACATTCCAAACAAGGAAAACAATGTAGACGAGAAAGATCATGCCATCACTCTGGGTTGTTAATTTCTTAACAATGCAATTTTATAAGGCTTAGTTGAAAAGCACTTCCTGCACATGGCACCTTTAACCAGTCATATCTGCATCTTGAGTCGATCTTCCATCTTCGACACATGAACTGATTGATGCAAAAAGATGTTCAATTCTCAGAGGAGAATGTCGAGCAGCGTACTGGAACAAGACCTGACAAACAAAACCAAGTTGCTATGTCAAACGAAACACCCAATGATAATGCAGCACACATCTGAGTTGAAGGACTTAATCCGTGAAATGAATGGAAACATGCCAAGATACTTCATTAAAGAGCAAACCATGCAATGATCCAACAGATTTGCGCATGGACTACAACAGTGATACGGCATGGTCCCACAATATATAGGACGAACACTTGGCACCAGATTTACGTGATTAAAATTTTAAACTGGTAATTAAATCAGCAACTCTAACATAGGACATGGAATCTGAATCCACCATCTAACCTTCGAGTAACTATCAGCAAAAGCACGAGCACGATTGGATTTGCCCAGGTATTGTAGATCAGCTTTCTCCAGTTTACTGTCAACAAAAACTAATCCGCCTTCACCTATAGCAAACTTTATAAGATCTCCACGGTGAAGTTCTGTCTGAAGACCATGAGAACAGATTTCAGTAATGGATAACAAGAGAAGGAATGATACATGAAAAGGGGAAGAAAAAGGAAAAGGAGAAAGAAAAAGAGCTACTATGAATTCTGCTCTTTTGGTACCAAAGTGATTTACTTCTTCCTAATTTTGGAGGATCAAGAAAGCTGACTAGGAAGGCTTTTTCACACTTCTCCTCTATCCTTCCTCCTCTTAATCCCAATTAAATAAAGTGCAAAATGATGATACGATCGAACCTTTTGTATGAATTCCGCAAGCAAGCAACCAAATACGACAGGAGGATCATCAGATGTAGCCAGTTTGCCATCATCTAGGAGCTCCAAAACTACCTGGTTGTACAAGAAACGGAATGTGTGAATCTCATTTACCACAATTCACTAAATCCACTAGCATATGGTGAATTTCTTTCCTCCATTTCAAAAACAATACGATAGCAATTTTGAATACTAGATCCAAAGACAACAGAATAACGATAAGAACAATTCAGCAGCTTTTTTATCCCTAATCCCAGCTCAAAAATTGCAATTTTACAATTTTAAAACTTCCAAATTCTCTAAAACTCAAGAAAGAAAAGTAGATTAATATTTTCCTCCAATTGTATAGATATGACCTAAGGAAGCCAATCCCTAGCAAAGTGGGCTTTAGGTAAGATAGCGACGAACTCATTCCTGCTACATAAACCGAAGTAGTCGACAAATTCGATTACATCGTCTCAAGCTGGAACCCTTGGCCATGTACCGTTGTAATAAAACATCCTCCCTCACATCTAAAAGATATATATATCTATAAACATAAATTCCAAATTCACGTGATTGTCAATATCATTGCCGAATGTGATTATATCATTTTATGACCCTAAACTGCACCAAGCCCCAAGGTTCAGAAAAAACCTTACAACATAAAGTTACACCCTTTAATTTTTCTACTAAGAGATTCAACTTGAATCAGGGACATAACTTCTATTTCTAGCCTTATATGTGTGACAGCTCCCCTATTCATAATGCTATAAACCAAATGATTCACTAAAGTTTTAATTATGACCGGCAAGCACTCCGATATGCCGGTATCATATGTTCTAAATAAGGTAATTTCGTCGTTCGCATCCATAGGTGGATTTTAATACATTATAGAGCCTGGTGAGTAGATTTTTGATGTACTAACTAACTAATCACTAAGCAAAAACCTGTGAAATCAAGAAATATATGCTTAATTGCTTATGAGCAGGATTAAGGAGAAGAGGCCTAAGTCAAGTAAAATGGTGAGCTTTAGAATTTTCTTCATGATAAGCACGTCTATTTTAGGGATCAAGCTCAGACAACCTTAAGTGAGGTTGATTAACTTACTCTTTCGTAATACCTAAATATGCCAAATCATTTACCGATTCAAGCTTCAGGCAAGCTCAAATTGTTGGCAAGAACTTCAATTGTTCGACAAAAGTAACTCAAACACAGTTTTCTTTAGTTGCCTTGGGAGTTGGTCTTTTTAGTAGCTTGATTCATTTTACAATCCTCGTGTAACCTTATCGATTACATACTTGACTTATAACAACTTTCAAATTCAAAAGGTACATAATGGACATAACGGGCAAAGAGTGATGTACCTGTTGTTGACTTGGAACTTGTCCTTTATTATCTGTATCAATGACATACTGGCTACAGTTCTCATCCTTCCAAACCAATGTTAGCGGTGTATTTCCTGTTTGATAATGTGCATGCCTGGGTGCAGGATGGACAATTACAATGAAAAACAGAAAGGATCATGATCAAATGAAAGAACAAAAAGATCACCTGGAGTTTTCCAAAAGCCATAAGGTACAGGAGCTTAAAGGTTTGACTACTGATGAGTGCTAGAGAAACTACAGTAAAACTAGACAATTTAACACTAGAATAGCACAGACCAACTAAAGTGCTATGGTCCAAACCATGAAATATATATTTTCAAAATCATACGATTGCTGTATTCTTAGTTCCATGGATGCTAACAGTGTCACGATATGCATTCAAAATGAACAGTACAGACAAGGGAAAGGCAAGATAACCTATAGGTGGACCCAGAAAAGGATCAAGCTGTTCACAAGCAACTTCTAAGTGCCATCCATATGCAGCCTAACTGAAGAGTGCACAATAAAAGTTAGAACTATAGGGCAGTGAATATCATGTGGCTCCAGAAAAAGTAAAGATATTGTGGAATAAGAGTTCTTTTGTAAGGGGAAAAAAACAAGTCCTGGTTAAGTTGCTGAGAA